TGATGTGTCATTTGTTGTTTACTTCTTTCCTGTATTCTCTTTCATTGCCTTCGCGTATGCACCAAAACTTTTCTACCTTCTTCCGTTTGATACATAATCAATCTCTCAACTATGTGAAGGTTTTGCTCTCAGGTTTTTTAAAGACAAGTCCACAAGGGAATAAGTGAAGCTGCCAGCATGATCTATCTTTGGTTAAGAGATGAATGTGGAAACATATTGCTTAAACCCAAGCTAGGTCATGCTCTGACAGCCTCACTCCTTCCTGGTTTAGGACCATTCTCTGATAAAACATTTTCACTTGCCAAACGCACACAGTTCTACCACTTGAAACCTGGAAGTGTTCTCTCTGTTTTTGTTATGTTTTTTTTCCTGCTTTGTTTCGCTCCCCACTTTCTGTTTTCATGCTTTTTCGCTTTAGATATACAAATGGTGCATCATTTTTTAGTGTTTGAAAGAGAATTTAAACTGTGCAAAGCCAAACTTTTTAAGAAAAAGGAGAACTGTACAAAACCAAACTGGTGTCTCTCTCTCAGATTCACACCAAACGTTACAAGACAGATTATACCTTACACAAGAATAACCCTTATTTCAAGACAAAACTTCTAGCATACTTAGTTAGCTCTGAAATGTACAAACAGTGTAATTTACCCTTCCACTGTTAGTATATAAACCAAAGTTAGTCGTTCTATCCACCAATGGCTACCTCAAAGCTCAAACTCACACAATTGTTTCTCCTTGATTTTCTTAAGTGAACTAAAACGCCACCTTGTTCCAGCAGTTTGAAAGAATTAGAACTCACCATGTATTCATCCATCCGTTTGATCAAAAGCATCTCTTGGTTGGGAACCTAAGATTCAGACCCGTCAAGGTTCTACCACTTTAAATTTCCACCTTATGAATCTGAATCTTTTGATCGTTCAAGAGAGCTGGAAACTTCTTGTAAATTTATCTTTCCATACAGCTCCTTTCCTGTGCACTTGATCATCAATTCTCCACCCATCCCTAGAGAACTGCAGCTATTACGGTTAGCTGCTCAAGGTTTCTTGAGAGATGGGCTTCTTGAACCCTTAAATAAGGATTTTGGATTCTTAAAGTAACTGAGGAACGGTGTCTCGGAAACAGGTATGAATTTTGTGAAAAAGCCGATCGGCCATGAAAGAGATGCAATTGCAATGCAAGTCCCCCATTGCCACCCGTTAAGCCTTACCGTATCTGCAAACTTCTTTAGGAATTCCACCATAATGACTTGAAGCACAATAGTGATCGCTATGATTCCAATGAACAACCTGTTTCTTTGAAGTCCTTTGAACACATTTTTCTTCTCCATCTCCCTTGCATTGAATTCGTTGAAAACTTGGCAGAGCACGAAAGTGTTGAATATGAGCGTGTTCTTCACTTCCTTGCGCACGTTGAATATAGACATACCCTTGAACTGTAGGATCAAGAGTATGGCTATTTGATATAATGACTGAACAAGGAGATTCCTCCACATGACATTTGTTATCAGAGCCTCTGTTCGGCCAACTGGCTTTCGCTTCAGGAGCTCATTGGTGGGTCGTTCCGTGGCAAGAGCCAGAGCTCCAAGAGTGTCCATGATGAGGTTTACCCACAGCAGTTGAACTGCTGTCAAAGGGACCTCACCGGCTGAAATTGCTGCAATGAAATTGATCACGAGAGCTGCAACGTTCACTGTTAGCTGAAACTGAATGAATTTCTGGATATTGTTGTAGACACACCTTCCCCATTTTAACACTGTAGCAACGGATGTGAAGTTATCATCTAGAATAACAATGTCTGAGCTTTCTTTTGCCACTTCAGTGCCCTGAATTCCCATAGAGAGTCCAATATCTGCTTCTTTTAGTGCAGGTGCATCGTTGGTGCCATCCCCTGTGACGGCTACCACGTGACCTTTAAGTCTCAGGCACTTGACCATTAGAAGCTTGTCGGAGGGAGAGGACCTTGCCATGACCCGGATCTTCTCAACTTTCTGCATTCTTTCTTCGTCGGTATAGTTTCTGAACTGAACACCTTCTACAACAGCCTCCTCTTCCTCTTTGTCATTGTGGTCGAGGATTCCGCATTCAAATGCTATCGCTTTGGCAGTGAAAACATTATCTCCCGTAATCATCTTGATCGTGACCCCTGCAAGTTTGCAAGTTTCTACAGCTTTTGAGACACCAGGTCGACATGGATCTTTCAGACCCACGATTCCCATCAAGGTCAAGCCATCTTCCTCTAATCCCGAGTCGTTTGACGATACTTTATGGGCGAAGGCTATGCATCTGAGGCTACTGGCCGCCATACCTTGTATAATTGCCTGAATTGTGTTCCTTGCAGTGACGTCCATTAAGTCAACGGATCCATTGCTCGTGTAGTAGTAAGAACACATAGCCAAGACCATTTCAGCTGCTCCTTTCCAGTGTACATGGACTGTATTGTCAGATTTTCTCCGAATCAAAACCCCACTTCGTTTCTTTGCTGATTTGAAGGTTTCAACGCGGAGAACATCGTGTTTGTGCTTCACTGACTCCATATCCATACCCAGATTTAGCACAGTCCAAGACAAGAGAGCCTTCTCTGTTGGACTGCCCGAGAACTCAGGCGTTGGCCCTGAATCTGACCCACATACACTACCCGTGGTGTTCAGACCAGTGCCTTGGTAAAGCAGATCGAGAACGTCAGATGAGATCATTTTGGTAGAGTCTTCATGGATTGACTCTTGGCCAAGCCAAAACTTGGTAACCTTCATCTCGTTCAGTGTTAAAGTGCCGGTTTTGTCTGTGCAAATCACTGTTGCTGAACCCATCGTCTCACACGCTGAGAGCTTTCTGACCATAGCTTGATCAGACATCATTCTCTTCATGGAGTAAGCCAGCGTCAGAGTCACAGCCAATGGCAAACCTTCTGGGATAGCCACTACGACAATGGTGACTGCAACTGCCACAATTCGCACAATAGAATTGATGATAGTGTCAACAGGTGTTTTGCTCCCGTTGTATTCTCTTTGACCTAGCTTGTCCTCTGTGTTCCCAGTGAAGTAACGGACTAATAACACTACCAGAACAAGTGCAGCCACCGTAAGACCAGCTTTTCCAATGGTGGAAGTCAGTGTGTCAAGACGGACCTGCAAAGGTGTTCTCTCGCTAGAATCTTGGTTTATGGAGCTCATCGTCTGCCCCCAAGTTGTGCTCATACCCACAGAGACAACCAGCATCTGAGCAAACCCGTCGACTATCTTTGTCCCGGAGAACAAGAAGGGATTATTCTTGTGATCGACTTCAAGATGGTCACTCTCTCCGGTCATACTAGACTCGTCCACCATGAGTGAATGCCCATCCAAGAACAGACCATCAGCCGGAATCTGATCTCCAATCTTCAAGAAGACAATATCACCAACAACAACATCAAAGATGGATATATGTTGCCGCCTACTGTCCCTAAGGACTTCCACTTTGATATTATTGCTTATCTTGGACAGCTTGTCGAACTGTCTCTCCTGCCTGAAGTTGCTGAGAGCAGAAACAACTATGACCAAGAAGACTGCTACGAAGATGCTTCCACCTTCATACCAGCCTTCCTTTATGCCGTGTTCTTTGATTCCGAAACCAAGGGAGAGGGTAGCACAGGCCAACAGGATCAAGATGGTTGTGTCTTTGAAAGCTTCACACACAAAGAAGAGAAGTCCTTTCGGCGGTGGCTTGTGGTAAGTGTTGGAGCCAAAGAGGTCACGGCGTCTACTGACTTCTTGCTCATTCCCATGGATTCCTTTGGTGGCGTTTGTCCTAAGGGAAGCGGCGACACCCTCCACGCCACCCAGCCCTCTTATGCCCGGTAAGTCCTTAGCCTTCATGATCTCCACAAGTCGTTCCTGATCGATGTCAGGAACATAAGAGAGAGGCATAGAGTTGATCTTTGCTCCATCACCGGACTCGAGGGCTGTGTAAGAGAGAGAGAAGGAGGCATCAGGGGCTTTGGGATCAATTCTTCCGGGTATTATCTCCTTCACGAGAGAGAGCATAGCCCTCACAGAGTAGATGGCAGCGTAGGCAATACGCCAACGCCTCTGGGCCTTGTTGAGACTGCTGGTGGTAAGGTTGAGTAGTAGAGCATTGTAATCATAGTCCTTGAGGTCTTTCATGTCTTGTGTGCGAGAAAAGAGAGAGTCTTTAGAGGTCTTTCGCGTATTTGTGTTGTGACTTGTAAGACACTCAAGACTCACAAAGGGAATGATTTCTCTCTTTTCATTCTAATAACCCCGAGCCTACAATATATATCCGTTTTGGTTTGACCGCCTCACATTTGTTTTAAACTATTGAACCGCTTTTAATTAACTTGTCACCAATTGCTTTCATTTTCAGGCGGTGGAATCACTCAACACACGTTGTAAACACGAAGATGCCATCATGTCGATCAAAGGATATGGGCTGCACATCCTTTTGTACTGTGTCTTGACTTATCTTTATTGGCTTTGGTTTCGGAACCCTTGTGGCCAAAAGAGAGTTCGTTAATGGGGTTTTATTAAAGCAGTCTATGATCTACTAATAAATCTAATCTGATGTGAACAAAGCCGTCATTGTAGAATGAGCAGCAGCAACGTGTGTGTACCAACTTGCTGAATCCTTAGTCCGTAAGGACAAATATAAAAAATGTGGCATTTTCTCTCTTATAGCAAAACTTGAAATACAAACCAAAGAAAAGAGGATTTGAATCTTCCACACCAACTTGTTTCCTACGTATATATCAACTGGATTTGTACACTACTCAAATGTGTACCTGATGAATAAATCAAAACAAAGTTGGTAATTTCCTCCTACTTTCCCACAAACCCATTTTTTGACGTCACCTCGAGTTGAATATATTAGTTTAATAGAGCAGCGTGTAGGAGCAAGCATGATCCCGGAAACTTCGTAGCACTTTCCATTTTCGTTGTCAAGAAACGGGAGCCTGAGGACGACAGCGAGACATAAAGCAGTTGACTTTATATAAACAACCAAATAAAGTAGACCTCCACTAAACCTAGACGTGACCACCAATACATTCTCCCCGCGTGGCCCTGGCCGCAATCGCTACCATTTTTAATATTCAGCTTAGGTGAGGAAGGATATTGCTTCCCATCGATTCTGTGTATACGTGATGCTTGATTTGCTTTATATTCACGGGAGGCAGATTCAAGAGGATCCAATAATTTGACACAACTACACAGGTACTGCAAGCTTAACATATCCAACAACAATGGCTTGCTGGAGAATAGATTGACTATGATCTTATGAATCAAAGCAAACTAATCAATAACCATATGATTCAATTCTCCAGCTACTTGAATGGTGCTCAATAATAATTCAAGATAACAAAACCAACTTCAACAAAGTAAAGTTGATGACTTTAATTATGTTTCAATTCTCAAATGCCAAAAGACTTTGAATTGTTCAAGGAAGACATGGTTTTTGGTGTGGAACAAGATCCCTGGCTCTGCAGTTGGTCTTCCGTATTGGCTGACCCAGTTGGTGTAGCCACCACCTGCTCTCCTCCGGCATTGACGCCAGCCAGATCAATCCCTCAGCCTCCCTCGCCACCGCGATTCGCGCGTCTAGAAACGCCACAGAGCACTTTTCTTTGGCGAATCCGGCGCACTTGTCCTTGGCTGCAGCCAAACATCCCTCGAATTCCCTCTCTTCGCACTTCTCTCGTTCCCTCATGTCACCGGAGCCCCGATCGGCCAAGCTCCGCCACCAAGGCGGCTTACAGTTTCTGGAGGCGGAGACGGCGCACCCAATTCTGGCACCTTCCTCGCACTGCTCCTTGATTGTGGATTCGCAACGCTTGAAAGCGGCGGACCATGAGTCCAGGGACCGGAAGGCTAGAACGTATCCCGATCCAACGGCGGGGATTGGCCCCCGGAGCAACGGTATCGGGCGGTCGAACACAACGGTGGTCGCAGACGCTGAGTATTCTTCCATTTCTCTCTTTGGCGGCCCAACGGGCCTTAGGGAGACCTAATTACTATGGATCTCTTTAATTACCAAATCTGAATTGGACGCGTGGCGCTGTTACCATAGTCGTGAACGCAGTAGATAGATTCCACACCGTCTTCTTCCCTTCTTCTTCCACTCGACGTCTCGAGCCTAGTCGTTTCGTATCGCCGTCTCCACCCGTAAGGTATCTCCGATTCCTTGGCCTCGTCGATTTCCACACCGTCTTCTTCTTATAGGGGACGCTCATCTTTCTCTAATAATTTTTTGACGTTTATTGAGGGGTTTAATTAGGGTTTTTTAGTTCATGATAAAGTTTGATAGATCTGGTATTTGAACTTTATTTTGGTTTCAATCGAGCTTTCTCATCATAATGCTAGCACCTGCTTGCTGGGTAAGTGCAATCAAACTGTTTCCATCCATTTGCTTTCTCCTGCGAGTTTTATTTCTGCTTCAAATCTATCACACCATGTTAACTGCGGTATATATGCTTATTGGTACACTTTATTGTTGCCATAAATCATGACCTACCATTGTTTTGTCATGTTACTCCTCTGATAATAATAGCTTATCTCTAACCACTTTTTTCGGATGTTTTCTTTGTGTAGCAATGAGTAAGAAGAAGAATCCTACTGTATTCTTGGATGTATCGATTGGTGGAGATCCTATCGAACGGATTGTCATTGAGGTATTACATTCACTGTGCAATTTTTGGTTTTCTCCTTCTTTTCTTTCTACATCTTCTTAACTTCTTTTTGTTACCTGTCAATGGCAGCTTTTTGCTGATGTTGTCCCCAAGACTGCAGAAAACTTTCGGGCCCTCTGCACAGGTACCTTAAGCTTGCTCCCTACAGTATGTGCAATCTGCATCTATCACTGTCACATAATCTCAGCAGCTTGTTCTAGACCCTGAAAATAGCATAGCATGACTTATCTAGTAGATTGTTAAAAAGGGTTAAGAATATGTTAAAGAACAAGTTAGTTTGTAAATTTAGTTTTTTTTTTTGGAAGATCTTGTATGGTAGATGTGTCCACTTGAAAGATATTGATGGGCTTCACATTTCGTTGTTCTGGTGTTTTACTTGGTGCAGGTGAGGCGGGCATTGGAAAGACCACTGGGAAGCCTCTACACTTCAAAGGATCATCATTCCACCGAGTAATTAAAGGTTTCATGGCTCAGGTATGTATGCATTGTACTCGTGTAATTCTTTTTCATCCTCTTTCTGTTCTTTGCTGGCCATTCATTCACATGGATCAAGACTTAGAATTTGTTCTATCATTTTATATATGCATTTGCTGGTAAACGAGTTCTTCATTCATCTGTGGTTCTCATTTTTGCAGGGTGGTGATTTTTCAAATGGAAATGGTATTCTTCTAAACTGATATCCTTTTCGCTTTCAGTCGTATTGTTTTCCAAACGGTGTATGTAACTTTACATTACATCATGCACTATGTACGGACATATTTTAGAGTATTTAATAAAAGCAGAAGTTTAAGGAATTGATGCAAGCAGCCAAGTTTATATATAATGAAAAATGGCACTTTGGAAGGTCGTATTAGTTCATCTCTGAGACAGTTTCTGAATGAAGTACTGCTGAGACTGGGAGATACTCTTGGAATGCTAACTACTGATGTATTCAGCTTTATTCTGCTAATAATGCTCAGATTTGTAAGGAATTTGGTTGGTTTGCAGGCACTGGCGGGGAGGGCATCTATGGTGGGAAGTTTTCAGGTATAATTTAATTTCTCTTGCTTTATTTTCAACTTTCTGGAGTTTAACAAATTTCTCAACAAGTAGCCATTATCCGACAGATGAGAATTTTAAACTGGACCATGATGGAGCTGGAATCCTTTCCATGGCAAATTGTGGCCCAAACACCAACGGATCTCAATTTTTTATACTTTTCAAACGCCAGCCACATCTCGATGGGTAATCTCTGCTCCTAGATTTGGCCGTTTTGAGAAAATGGAAGTTCATTGTCCAGAGCACTATCTTATCCTCAATCATACTGTAGGAAGCATGTTGTATTTGGGAAAGTCGTGAAGGGAATGGAAGTAATCAAGAAAATGGAACTTGTGGGGACGAGTGATGGGAAACCTACCAGCCTTGTAAAAATTATAGACTGTGGAGAAGTTCAGGATGCTGCTGAAAGAGATAAAGGTAATGACCTTCATCTTTGAAGGTGGAATTGGTAGATTTTTTTTGATGCACTTACATTAAACTTTTTCAGGTAAATTGAAAAAATCAAGCAAGGGATTTTCTTCCGGTGACATATCTGATCGTGAAGCTAGGGGGACACACAAAAAAAAATCAAAGGAGAAACGGATAAAGCGAAAAAGAAGATACTCTTCATCGGATTCATATAGCTCAAG